GCGTTGGTTGACTAAAGACTTGGAGCTTTAATATTGGGCTTGCAGCTCCAGACAGTGGGCAGTGGTGCAGCAGCTGTCTGTTGACCTAACTGAACCTCCTCTTAGCCCCTCTGACCAGCCACGGTATGTGGGCAGGCTGTGCCCGTGACAGGGCTGTCATAACTGTCTCCTAATGTGCTAATTATCTCTCACACACGCTTGCACAACACGGACACAATGTAAAAATAGTGAGTAAGCAGATAAGCTGTTTTTTTCAAGAGATCAGAGTCAAAAGAGGCATCATGAACTACATACAGTATTTCACTGAAGAATAACTATAGGAAAGATGTTTTGAAACATGAGACATACAGATATTTATATATTTAATGTTTTAGATTGTAAATAATTAGACAGTATACAATAAACAAAAGATTAAGGTTTTAACAATAGTTTAAGACCTCTGTATGTGATGGTGAAAAATTGCATGTAATTTCAAAGTATAGCATTATTTCCATGGAGACAGGCCACTAGGGCAAGTTACAGGTCATGGACACAAAAAGGTCATGGACTTCCCTCTGGAATAGTTAGTGCACCTTGAAGTCAGACATTAGTAAGCCTATAACAAAATGTCACATTAGTGATGAAGTTAAATCATATTCATATTTTACAATCCATCCTTGCATCCCAATAACACAGGCCCGAAAGAGGCTTCTTTGTGACTCTCCTCTTTCTGAAAACATAAAGATGCTGTGCTATATACAGACTATGAGCCATAGTGTGTCGGTCAGCCAAGGGTTAAGTCTGCTGTCATTTAGTGCAGCTTTCTTTGGTTATACATCACAATGACGTCTTACTGCTCTTAAGTCTGCTCTCCGTCAGCCGCTCTTGTTAGCATAGCAGAGTGGATGAGTGTGCCTCGTAGGTAAAGGTAATCTTTGTCCCTTCCAGCTAATGCACTTCAGATTGTCAGTGCATTCATCTCAACTTTTATGTTTTTATAAGATACATTATTCCTTATTTTGTTAATTTGGCAGAATGCAATTATATATTAATAATTTCTTTTAAACATCACTGTTATTCATGTATGTTTGTTGTATTTTGTCTATATATCACGTAAAGGTAGCTTAGATGGGGTTATGTATTCTAAACACACAAAGAATACTGAAGTTACATTACATTTGGACTGCTGATGTACCCAAACTGGGCAAAGAATCACCAGTTCCTATAATACAATCCATCTCTGATCAGTGGGAACTCAGAAAGATTGTAACTTGTATTTTTATAGCAACTAATTAGCCGCATTCAAGGGTTATATTTAGTCTTTGGAGAAAGAACACGCGTGTACTCTTGTGTATCCCGTCAGGATTAATTTGTTAGCCAGCCTTCTGGGGACAAATATCAGACAGCTCCCAGTTGTGTTAGTGACAGGTGGTGGTGGATTAAGACAGAAATGACATGTAATGAAAGAAGGGGTTACTTATATCTAATAGTTTTACTTTAAATTTGAAGTTTGTTGATGGGTACTGGTTCTATGGGGACTGTGTGTGTGGCCTATATTTACTGATGCATTCATTTATACAGAAGCTGCAGCCAGTTTCAAGGTTGACCTTGTCATTAAAATGTTGTGCTATCAATACTTTGTGAAATTTTAAGCTAAGTATTGACTGAACTGATTCTCTAATATGCAATCATGTTTTTATTGCAAGACTTAGTTTAGTTTAGTTTTTATTTGAATAAAGGAGGGTGCAGAGACATTAAGCTCAGGTTTTGTCAACAAATGTTCAACTATTTTTGAGATAGCAGTTTTTGGTCACTAAAAACAGGTGTTCAGTTGTTGATGTTTTTTTTTTGTTTTTTTTTGTGCTTGTTTTTTTTTTTTTTTTTTTTTTTTTTTAGCCTGAATAACTGTGCCATCGATACTACAAATTTTGAGATGGTCTCCTCTGTCAAGATTACCACAGTGTGAGAAATTCTCATTTTTAATCAACCGAAGAAGCTATTTGGATGAGTGGAGAAATGCTTTCACTCTAAAATCTTTTGTCCTTCCTTTGCTACGGATCCGACCTGGACGACTTAAATCAAAAAGAACATTTAATGCATTAACGTAATAATATCCCCAATCTTTAAAGCCAATTTATTGTTGTTTATGTCTTACCATTGGATTGCAAGTTTCTTCTCAAACCAAGTCTTTGATAGTTTGTTTTTTTTTTCTTTTTTGAAACGGCTAACCTTAGAAGTGGCCCATGTTTATTGGGTCCACTCTGCAGGAGCTCATTTGTCCATGCGACTTCCTCGGAGGGAAAAGTTTGAAGCCCACCTCTGATCCATCTAATTAAATGAAAACTCAGTGAGCTCTACGCAGTCAGACAGCCCAGCACACACACACACACGCACACACACATATAAAGGTATAACTGATGTGAATCTCCATGGGGGACTACACATCATGCTGCAGTATCGTGTCCTCTGGTGCAGTGCTATCACAAAGTATGCTGACACACAACACGGCGCGGATCATGAGCATAAATAAGCAAGGGAATGTTTTACCTGAAAAGAGGAGCATTAATTCAAAGGCATCACGCTAGTACTGAAAGAATGTTGCCTCATTAGTGTTACCCCACTGCTTTCTACAGCAGCTGAGATGGTGTGAGCGAGAGGATGAGCCAGTCTACCAGCAGTCAGAATCTCCCGAGATCTTGCATTTGCCTCGGTGACTAAAAAGTGCACATTATTATGCTTCCATTGTGGCAACCGATGGGCTGAACAAAGATGCTTGAATACCAGAGCGCTCTGAGTCCTCACATCTTTGACAAATGTGCTGCCAAAAATTTATAGCTTCACAATGAGCGTCTCCAGCAGGAAATTTAGCATTACTGTAGACTCAAGCCCCCCAAAAATGAAATCACTTCTTTGCCTTTGCCCCTTAAAACGCAGAGAATGGAATTTTGGGGATGAAAAAGGAGCAGGGGTGAGGAGACAAGGACAGACGCTATTAGGAGGACGTCCTTGTGATTGACAGATTGGTGCATGGGCTGCGTTCACAAGCGCACGCCATCACAAGCGGTTCCCCCAGAAATCTGTCTATCACTGCTGTCTAAGCTGAGCGACAGCCATGACATCTAATCACAGGCGAGCTGGCACCTCATAACTCCTGCCTAATGTGCTGCAGGTACAGGAGGAGGAAGGGGCACACGCAGCCACGCACTATTTATAGCCCGTTCAGGGGCCACCAGCAGGAAGTAGATCACACCGAGGGGTTAGGGAAGATGTCACTACACTGTATCAGCACTGTTTAGATAGGTCTCCGTTGACAAGATTAAGCACCTCTGCGCCCAGGTATAAAGGCGAGATGTTTTCTAGGTTGCACTGGGCTTTTCCTGACAAGTAACATCAAATGAGGGCAGATATAGTGCATATACAAGATGATAATGAGCTATTTACATAATGTTGCTACAACACCATAATTACCTGGCAATTAAAGCAGCTCAAAAGCCTCATTACAGGCTGTCCTGAGGGCTTCTTGGACTGGGATGTGCGTTCAAGCTTGATATCCACTTTTAGATCAGCCACTAGATTTTTGGCACCTTATTTCTAGCTGTTTAATATAGTGTATAGTTTAAGGCATTAGCATAGGCTGTCACTGTTTATAACATGTTTTTACTTATTTTGTGATATTTCTAGAAACAAATACAGTGCTTTTTAGGGTTTTCAGGCGTGCACATACGCCATATCAACTTGACACTAAATGGTGACTAAAATTAAAACAAAACCTGGATCAGGAAAAGAACAGGAACAAAGCAGGACTAAACCAGGACCAAATCAAACATGAAGTGTATACCCTTATTATTAATTAAGTTAAGTTACAAAATATCTGATGCGCACTTATAAACTCTGAGGCTATTCCACAGATATTAATTTGTAAAGGTGTTAAATGTACGGGCATTGTTAGAACATTACTACATGTGTTGTATTATCGCCAAACTGTAAGAGGACATTTTGTGATGAAAATTTGTGACACTTCCAATTATCACAAAAAGTTTGGAATTGCACATAATAACATATTGAGCTAGGTTTTGTTGCATGCCTGTGGACCCTGTTAGAAATTTGTTCACTATCAGGTGTGATTTGTCACCTATACTTTTTGTCCTGAGGGAATCGCTGACACATAGAAAATGCACAAAGGAGTACACAAGGACATGTGTCATACCTTGCACCCTTATTACGCCAGCAATGACAAGTCAGACAAGCAGTCACTTCCCCAGTCTGCCGAGAGACCCATTGCTCTGAGTTACAATAGTCGAAGAAACTCGAAAGTCTGTCTGAATGTCAATATAATAAAAAATGGCTTGTGAGAAATAAAACTGCGCTGAAGGAGGGCGTAATGTATGTGTGTGAATGTGCGTGTGGCGTTGTTTATGAATAGCACACAATGAATGATGGGAGCTCTCCCGAGGGTAACAGGCCCCTGAGCGCCGCTGTGGGGACTTGGGAACATGCCAGTCTCCCATGCCCCGTGAGGAGATGCCAGCTCCGGTGGGCACCGTTCCGAATGGGTGCTCTCTCTTCCCTTCCAGGATCTACGTGTGGGCTCCCGGGGGAGAGTCTCCAGGCAGTGGCTGCACCAGAATGGACCTGGGCTGGAATCTCAATCAGGAACAAGCATAAAAACCAAAAGTCCACACCACCCCACACTCACACAGACACACATACAGTATATACCCACCTCTGAGCCTCTCTGTAATAATATCGCACTAGGGGAAATTGAGAAAAGGCCTCATTATGTCTGGGGTGGTGTACACCTGCCGGAAAAATGGAAGAAATTACCACTTGATGATGCCTTTTGTATTCGTCTTAATTACTCGGAAATTGCATATGGAGCGTAATGAATTTGAACGTGCACATTATTGCGATGTATTTGTTAACTGAGGGATATGCTGTGTGCTTGCATCCTGTCTTCTCACAAGCTGTCTTCTTCTTCTCTTTTTTCTGCCCTGTTCCTGTCCGTGTCTGCGCTGCTACAGGAGCTGCTGAAATCGTGACAGGTACGCCGCTTCATTTCTCTTCCCTCTCCTACCTGCTGTTCATTTGGAAGTGCTGCTTTCTGTCTGTTTCTGTTGATTTGCTGTCCGTTCCAACTGCTGTTCATCTGTGCGTATTTACATGAAATACGCCGCCTGTGTGTTGCAACTCCGCTGTAGGAAGATGCAGGCGTCTATCTGCACACAAGCAGTTGTTTTTGTTAGTTATAAATCAACTATTTGTGGGTATTGCCTGCTGTTCCAGTCCTGTGTGTGTGTGTGTGTGTGTGAGTGAGTGTATCCCCTCAACGTCAGCTCCAGTGACACCTCATCACACTATGTCTTCACTTCTTCATTAATGTCATTTGTGTTTGTCACTAATTAATAATTACATGTTCTAGTAACTAATCATCACGCACACCACACTCCACACTCCATTTAAATCTGCAGGTGTCTGTCTCTCATATAATGTCTCTTTTCAATATGACTGCCCACACAATCATCCATTATATACTGGTAATGTTCTTAAATACATAGTGCAAAAATAAAAACATTCACCGTATATAAAATAGGAATCACAATAATGTATTATTAAAATAAGCCCACAGGCTCAGTTAATTTTCATGTGTAAAATGTTTAATTATAACAAAATGGCACAACACTGCCATAAATGTTATTGTACAAGTAATTTCTCCTACTTTTCTTATGTTACTTAATTACTTTTAATGACATTTGTACAACTTTTGCTGTAGTAACTTTTTAAAGTCTAAAGGTAATGTAAAGGCTTACTTTCACTGAAGAATGTAGTTTACAAAGAGTAATATTTTCCCATCCCAATAATATCCATTATAGTGGTATAACTAGTTTCAATGCTCTAATTCAATTCCAGGTAAGTCAAACTTAGTTTTCTGAATGTCCTCTCTCTATATCGTAATGTAGGTCACATACACCGTGTATGTGTAAACATCATGGCACTAAAAGCTTCACAAAGGCATGCACCATGACGATGCAGCACAAGAGGAGCTTTATTAACCTTTACAAAAGCAGGCTAATTAGAAAGCTAATGCTGTGTTTGTTTAGTTTTATTACAAAAAATGGGGACTTTTTTACCTACTTATCCTGAGAACAGAAAGCTTTCTTCTATTTGAATGGTCTTATTTTCTTGTTGTAATGTAGGCCCCATTATTACACAAACAGATGCACTGATTTTCTATGATTGCATGTCTTTGAAGAATAGCCGAGATGGTCAAATTAGTGGGTATGAAATTTGTCAAACCTTCCCCACGTCAAGGTTCTGAGAGAAATGGCAGCGCACTAATTATACCCCCGGACTGAGCCTTCTTATGTTCCAACATCCTTTAAAAGCATTTCATCATGAGGATCAGGGTTTAATGACTGAGCAGCAGAAAGATGTGTTGCGCTAAAAAGCTAGCATCAGAGAGAGCCCGTCGCTGCGGAAACTTTTATTGTTAACGACTGACTGTAGACGTTCCTTGAAAGGACTCGGCCGCTGCAGACAGGGGTAACTCCAGGGAGATATGGCGGCGCTGCTGTCCTGCTTTCACTGCCCGCTTTCATGTCTTTTGATGCGAAAATAAGAAAGAGAAAAGTTCAAAGATGCCCAAGTCCACGCCAGAAAGGTACCCCAAGTATTCAAGGAGGCAGACAAATTCTATCCAATAAAGTTTCTGGGTCCAAATTGGTGGGTTTGGCTGGCTGTGTTTTGCATGTGATGAGGAGCAGATTGTACATCCCCTTAGCGTTCCAGAGTTCTGAGGACCCAACTCTTTCATTCATATGTTGTGATGGCGACACATGGGAGAGGGGGGCACTTTGCTCTTCCAGACAGCTGCTGGACTGAGTGAGAATTTATCAGCCAGTCATCTGTACCATTCCTCGCTCGCCCGCCTGCTCCTCTCCCTCACTAACCCCCATCCAACGCCCAGAATTAATGACTGCCTCTCCTCATTTGCACCCAATCATGACCGGGATGCTGAGGCAATTGAAAATGTTTACTCCAATTGCAAAAACCCTCCATGTTGCACAAAGTGGCTTGTTTTCTCTTTGATGGGATTGCTAATCACAGCGACGTTATTTATGTGTGTTTTGAATTGGAGATGAGCCTAGGCTTGGGATATTGGAGGGCTACCAACCTTGCTTGGGGCTGCTAAACCTTATGGAGAATTTATCTTTTTGCATTCCCTTTTCTCACAGTCCAACAGATTGGGAGCAGAATAACCTTGCTTTGAGGCTGCTCTATGTTGCTGTTATGACTGCCAAATATTTTACTTTTACAGCAGTGAATAAAAAGACATCAAACAGCTCCACAATGCTTTCGCTTTATTACAAATTGCAGGCTTTACAAGATAACTATTCTCAATAAAAGAGTTACAGCTTGCTCTTAATTTCAAAATATTAATCATGAAAAACAGATCAATTGTAAGACTCTTATCTACTTTTTTAAAATTTTGAACAAGCCAGAATAGAAAAAAAAAAAAAAAAAAATCCCTTGCTTTTAATCAACAGTGGATAAAAGTGAATAGGAAAGCATGCATACGATCACATATTCAGTAGGTGGTAGGTACGGGACATCTCTCATTAGTCAGTGCCAAACACAAGCCAAGGAGATAATAAGTTTGACCCTTAGGTGCCATTAAGCGTGAGGAGGTGAGCCCTAAATGATGCGAGTCCATCACTGTCAAAGCCACTGCGCTGCCACTGTTTGTCTTTCAAACATCCACTGAGTGATGAAGGTGCCAAACAAGGGCATGTGTGGCCCAGTTTCTCTAAGCAGCGCCGGTCTACAGGTGTGGGGGACCTTTTTACTGGTGTGTGTACTACATTTTAAAATACTGCACCATCCCTAGTATAGAGAGCGTATCAGAAGAAACACGATTTAACCATTATTCATGATTATTGACATCATGCCAAGATTTTAAGGCTTTATAAGAACCACAGGAGAAAGCATAGAGTCAGTGGGATGAAGATTGGGGAGAGACTGCGCAGTTTAATCTGCCTTTTCACTTCCAAAAATGCTGTTCACTTGTGCTTCTTTGTCTACATAATACACATATACGTTGTGTAATTGTGTTCTGTTGATTTTCCAGATAATTTGTTCATAATTTGAAAAATGGTGAAGTCCTTCATTCACTTTCATTCACACTGACTAATACATCACATTTTCTCTGGTACATATATGTAACAAAATATAATTACTTTACTTTTTACTCTTTTGTGATATAGACAGTGTTGGGAAGGTTACTTTTAAAATATATTCCCCTACAGATTACAGATTACATATCCCAAAATGTAGTTTGTAACGTAATCCATTAAAATACTTAAAGTGAGTAACGTAATCTGAATACTTTGGATTACTTGATATTGTCATGTTTTTTAAAACTACATAAATGTACCAACAACATCCTGAAAATTCATGTTTGTTCTCTTCAAATTGGTCCTGGTTGAGACCTGGTTTAGACCTGGTTTAGTCCTGGTTTAGTCCTGGTTTAGACTTGGTTTAGACTTGGTTTAGACCTGGTTTAGTCCTGGTTTAGTCATGGTTTAGACTTGGTTTAGACTTGGTTTAGACCTGGTTTAGTCCTGGTTTAGTCATGGTTTAGACTTGGTTTAGACCTGGTTTAGTCCTGGTTTAGTCCTTGTTTAGACCTGATTTAATCCTGGTTTAGTCCTTGTTTAGACCTGGTTTAGTCCTGGTTTAGACCTCGTTTTAGTCCTGGTTTTGTCCTGGTTTAGACCTCGTTTTAGTCCTGGTTTAGTCCTGGTTTAGATCTGGTTTAGTCCTGGTTTAGACCTGGTTTAGTCCTGGTTTAGACCTCGTTTTAGTCCTGGTTTTGTCCTGGTTTAGACCTCGTTTTAGTCCTGGTTTAGTCCTGGTTTAGATCTGGTTTAGATCTGGTTTAGTCCTGGTTTAGACCTAGTTTAGTCCTGGTTTAGACCTCGTTTTAGTCCTGGTTTAGTCCTGGTTTAGTCCTGGTTTAGACCTGGTTTAGTCCTGGTTTAGTCATGGTTTAGACTTGGTTTAGACCTGGTTTTAGTCCTGGTTTAGTCCTGGTTTAGTCCTTGTTTAGACCTGATTTAATCCTGGTTTAGTCCTTGTTTAGACCTGGTTTAGTCCTGGTTTAGTCCTGGTTTAGACCTAGTTCAGTCCTGGTTTAGACCTCGTTTTAGTCCTGGTTCAGTCCTGGTTTAGACCTCGTTTTAGTCCTGGTTTAGTCCTGGTTTTAGACCTGGTTTAGCCCAAAATGTGAAAACAGGAAAATACTGCCGTGTAATCCATTTATTTCAACAAAGTAACTGTAATCCAATTACCACTCACTGAAACAGTAACTGTAACTGAATACAGTTACTCATAATTTGTACTCTGATTATGTAACTCCGGTACATGTAATCTGTTACTCCCCAAGTCTGGATATAGATTTAATTACATTTACAAATCCATTACATTTTCACAAATTCTTATCATCATAGTGACCTTAATAATCACAATTATCGATGAAAGATGACGTTTCTGTTCTGTACCCGATACTATTTCAAACTCTGATACTTAGAAACAAGCTTGATTTTGACATAATACAAAATCTCCTGACAATTATTGTAACACTAAAATTTGATATTGTGACATCCTTATTTGGTATGCACAAACACAATGGGGCTTCATTTGGGCTTTACATCAGTCCTGTGTTAAGTTCTCTACTAGTTGAATGTCTGTCTTGTTACTCTTGCTGCTTTGTCCTGAGCCCAAACCTTGGCAGGAGAGTGAAATGAAATGGGTTGTTCATTGCGTCAGACAGGTCTTCAGAGCTTTTCTCTACAGGAGGTTAATTTCTTATTGCTTTCCACATTCTGAGGGTTCATTCTGAATCATGCTAGTTTGCTGTCTATTCCCATTATCCCTATCTGAAAATGTAGGTGTTTTTTTCTTCCCACTTTGTAAATGTCAGAATGCAATAGAGGTGTCTGACAACTCAGGCATGCAAATGGGCTTTTGATGTTTTCTTGGGGCTGTGGCTGCATGTTGTTACTTTGGTGTGAATCTGCGGTATTAAAACGTATTTTCTTTTTTTCACTCCTGCCAGATAAATATAGTACAGGGTGACTTCTGATTCTGTGAAGGAGGGGAAACAAAGCTGGTCTTTTTGTGCTGGGGTTTGCTGTAAGGTGTAAGTTAGGATGACAAGGTCCAGCGCCTGTCTGTAGCAACAATGGCCATGTTCAAAGAGAGCGTAGAGCACTTTTATTCCTGGAGCCACACAGCACCAGCGCCAACACACTGACTGAGTACACAGTGGTCACATGGAAGCTCAGATGGAGGGCTCTGATAAAGCTTAACCAAAAACAGCATCTCGCCCGTCTCCTCCTTTGCACCTCCCTGCCCAGATCCACTGCTCCACACTTTCTTACACTCTCTCTTTGTCTCCGTTTTGTCCTTTGCTTTATTCTTACCTTCGTGGGCAGCCGAGCTTACAGCCCATCTGGCACTGACTCACAGGGCCCACTCCGAGCTCGGGGGGGATCAATAGTGACAAACATTGCACATGGCTCTTATAATAAAAGGATTAGATTCAGCAGCAAACAATGTACACAGTCTATTCACACGTCCTTTCAGTGTGAATATTTGATGTTTCTGATTGTTCATAAATATCAAGCAGCAGGACTTGCACCAGTGTTTCCCCAAACAGGGCAAGAACCCCTGGAGTATGTGAGAGGTGGAAATGAAATGAAACTCTATTTGAATTTCAAAAATGCATAACTACACCGAAATACCCTTAATAGTGCATGAAGACTGACATGAACAAATAGTTTATTAGGAATGATTCAGGCTTTCACACTACTCAGTTCATCCTATAACTACTAAATATAACCCCTTAATTAAATAGTTATTAAGCCTGGCTCATTCTTAATAAAATATTTGTTAATTTTGAATAAAGTCTGTATTAATGTTTTATTAAGGCTAATTAAGGGTTATTATAAAGTGTGACCAATTTATTTGTGAGATAAAGCTTGGGGGGTACTTGAGAAAAAAGGTTGGCAATCACTGACATCGTGCTCGTGCACAATCACCTCTTAAAAAACTTAATTAATCCAGTACTAAACCAGCACTAGACCAGAACTAAACCTGGACAAGACCTGAACTAAATCAGCACTAGACCAGAGGTAAATCTGGACAGGACCAGAACTAAACCAGCACTTAACCAGAACTAAACCAGCACTTAACCAGAAGTAGACTAGGACTAGAACAGGGCCAAACCAAGCCGTCATCAGGACCAAAAAAGGACAGTGTGCACACGCCATGTTTGATTTTGTGTTTGTTTGTTTGTTTGTGTGTTGTTTCTAGTGGATGGTCAGAACCTGGCAACGGACAATGTGACTGTGATTGAGGGAGAAACAGCCACCATCAGCTGCAGAGTCCGAGACAATGATGACTCAGTGATCCAGCTCCTCAACCCCAACAGACAGACCATCTACTTCAAAGACTACAGACGTGAGTGACCAGCCCTAAAACATTGCACAATGGGACAAGAAAACATAACTTTGGTTACCTATATTAAACAGATTCTACCCTGCATAAAAAATCCTTAGTTTATTGTAAACTGTGTAATCTGTCTGGTAGAGGGTTCATCACCTTTTTTTTTGTATGGGTATGTTCTTAGTACTTTCCACAGTATGGCATTAAACTGATTTATCCATTCATGGAGACAAGCAGGCAGCATCAGAAGGCCAAGTTATAAGTGAGAGTAAGAATGTTTCAAGGTATTTTTGAGCAATAAAAACATCTCTAACTGAATATACTGTAAATTTGGGGGCAATGGTGGATCAAAACAAAGTCAATAAAGTAGTGAAGTACTGTACTTCAGTAAAATTTTTAGGTATATGTACTTAATTTAAACACACACATTTTACAATACATCTTAAAGTTAATATTTTTTTAGTTTTACTTTACTACATTTTCACCAAGTTGTTTGAGATCTGCCGAAAAGGCTGAGGGGTTATTTTTATATTATATATATTTGAGCAAACAAAAATATAACCAATAAAACAACAAATCAGTTCAGTTGTTGCTGTTGAACAAAATTTAGTACAAATCTTTATCAAAATTATAACACTATTAGATCTCAATCTATGCAAAATACTTTTACTTTTTACTCTTTAAGTGTATTTTTATACAGGTTCCTGAATACTTTTACTTAAATAGATTTTTTCATGTGATACTTTTACTTGAGTATCTGTACTTTTATTTATGTAGCAAAAATTTGGTACTGAGTCCTTCACTGGTAAGGGGTTTGTTGTTATACTGTGAAATATTTCAAGCAAAGCAACATCTATGGAGACAAGCAAGGTGAACCAGCTACCAGAAAAGTTACGCTGTACATCTGCATCTGTAAATACTGTAAAATATGTTACTCAAGATATCAAAGTGTAGAGTTTGTTCTGTCAGCTGTATTTTTTCTAACATATAATGAACAGTAAGTAGAAAACAGCAAAGGTTAGAACACATAATAATTCCACTGGAATATTAAAATATCTGAGAATGTCAGTAAAAAATGGGGAAAAAATTGAACAAGAGGACAGTTTTTCATGTTTTGCAGAATTTTAAAATACAAAATGAAAAAGAAATATTTATTCCAGACCTAGGCACATATTTGTATTAAATTTTGTATTCTTACAGATTGATTCAATCACGTGTGAAATGTTTCCTTGTGATTATGTGACAGTTTAACCAATTTAGTAAATCTTTGTATTCAATTGTCCATGCAAACTTAATACCTTTTGTCCTTGACTCTTTTGGCTCATTTTCACAAGTCATTAAGCCCCGAAAACGTTGAGATTAATATGAGATACTACACAGTGCCTCCATAATGGGAGCAGTTTGGTGTCCTTGTCACCGTTCGATTTTACGATAATCTGGTAGATTAGGATATTGAACATTATGCTTATGCATGAGCATATGTGCTACTTCTAGCCTGAATTTTCCTGTTTGTTTTTTTTTACTTGTTTGTGACTGGGACAGACGCCAAGACTCAAGGTGAATGAGGACCTTCCTTATTTCAGTCTCCATCACATCCCAGCTGTTCCTTGCTGCTGCAGCCTGTGACGTTTTTTCCACTTCCACTTTGAAAAGTAAAAGATTTTAGAAAGAAAGTTACATGAAAATTTAAGTGAGGAATGCAGGTTTAAGGGATCTAATGGCACCATATTTGTAATATGTGTTTTGGAAAAGACAGGATGATTTAAATGAAACACAGCAGCGAATAATTAAGTCTGACATCCTTGTAACAATCAATATCAGCCTTTTTTTTCCCCGCCGCATTAGTCATTCAGCCTTTTATTTGTAGTGAACCGCTCCATATGCGTTTTAAAATAGGCTGTGTCATTTTGCTCTGCCTTAATCAATGAAGTGCTACTGCCAATTACCAACACAAAAGCTTTGGTTTATCTACAATTAGATCAGTCTTTATGGCAGCTCGGTGACAGCAGCAGTAGCGTTGTTTGACTCTGGCTCCTGTGTGTTGTCCTGTGGGGGGGTCCGACTGCTATTCTGGGCTGTGTTCCTGGAGGACTCATATCTGTGCGGGACCCCCCTCCGCCCGTGGCATTGTTAGCTGTCAACAGGCCCGCTCCACACAGCGCTCCACATCTTTATGTACAAGGAAGTAAACAGCAGCTACACCAGGACGCGAGCTGGGGACAAGAACAGAGATGCTGATTCACACACACAAGTAACTAGAGCTAACAGATCCACTGACACACAACAACTTCATGCTCCAAATACAGATGCACTACATGGTACAGGTCCCGTTGCTTAGACACAATTAGTGAATGAGATGTTCAACAGTGGATCATAACATAACCACTGACAGCTGAAGTCATTTACACAAGTTTATGATGGTTTGGAGTATTGGACAACAACAAAGCATTCATGTGTATGCCAAAAAATATATCTGACTTGTAATTAAAAAGACAATAATTTCAAACAATGCTGTAAAAATTAAAGGACCCATATTACGCAATTTTCTGATCTAAGTTATAATGTTATTTCCTCATCAAAAACATACCCAGAGCTTTGTTTTTTTCACACATTGACACATGTTTACATAAACCCTGCATATTTAGGCTGTGTTCCCTCAACAGAAAACACTCTGTTCCACCTTGTGATGTCATGTAGTAATACAGGAAGTGCTTCACTGTGTTTTTAAACTCCATACACCTTCACTAGAATCATTTGGATAATTTCAGATCTGGAAATGTCAATCTCTACTGAAGAAAAGGTAAAAGGTAGCTGTTAACATGAAAACTACAGCTTCATGGTATCACAAGGTGAAACAGCATCGTGAGCTTTGGAGATGTAGGCAAACTAATAATGCAGGATCATTCAAATATGTGTTAATGAAACAAAACACAACTCTAGGCCACTTTAATATGGCTAAAAGCTCACAATAGCCAATTTTGCATAACATAGTACCTGTAGAGAAAGTAAAACATAGACTTATCATTATTTATTAGTAATATCATAGAACTTGTTTTCAAAGCGGCTGTGGATAGAGGAGTAGCTTTGGTCCAGATTTTGCAGGGTAGAACAGGCCTCATATCATTCTGAACAGAAGTTAATTAATTGTATTTTTGATTGCAACCTTCTTGTAATTGCGTATTACTTGAAATCATAATTATAAATTTGATTAATTGCACAACCCTAATCTCTAAGTGAAAGTGTCAGAGACAGAAGGAACATTTAACATTTAACACCTGCACACACATCCAAATTGGGAAATTGACCAGGACTAAACCAGGACTAGAACAGAACTACCACAGTCAACTAAACAGTAAACTAAACTGCGCACAAACCAGGATCTAACCAGGACAACTGGGAACATACCCTAAAGCTCCAATATTATGGTTGACTTAGATTTGAAACTAATCCTGTATGAGTCTGTATGGAGGCCAGATGGTCTAATAAACAATAAGACTTATCACATACACTGGGCTTAAATATAAATGTTTTTTGAAAAATCTGTTTTGTTAGACTGGTATATTGACTTGTATAAAGAGTAATACATTTCAGTTTTTCATGTTGTTCTACAAATGAAGAGATCAATTGCAAAAGCAGATATCTCCGTTTAGAAAAATTGGCTAAAAATATTTTTCGTTTTGTTGGCATGTTCTGCAGACATAACCAATGACAATAATGTATGTGGATTTTATCATGGAGGCAGTAAAATACACTTATCTTTTGAAAACATTAAAGATTACTTGATTAAAATTTTAAAGTCTGTATTTACAAATGAACTCTTCAAATGTTTCTCTTATTCTGGTGCTAAGATCGATCTTAGCATTTGTCTTGTGGATCTCCTTACTTCATCATCTGTTAGTTGAAAGTGTTCACAGACTGGCGGTGCCGGGTGTGGTGTGGCTGCTGTTATGTGCCAAGCCAGTTAGTGAAAAGTTGTTGTATTTAACTGTGGTCTTTATGTGCTGTGCCAAGGTCAACCAACTGTGAGTGGTCAGTGAAACAAAGGCCCAGTATTGGCTCACAACTCTTTGTCTGTTCAACATGTGTTAGGCACAGACTGCGACGTGGGCTCACAGGCTGCACTTGTTTGTGTAGCTCTTTTCAGCTTTCAACTTTCACTCAACAAAATACATATGAGTAATGAAGTAATATTGTTTTTTAATATTTGTAGTAGGCTTGTCACGATAATTACTACACTGATTTATCATTTAGTATATGAAAGCTGGTACATTTATATATTGTCAATATATTGTCCCAGTATTTATCACGTGCACATTTTCTTTGCAGTACTGGGAGATTTTTGGTTATTTTTTGGCTTTATAATAAAACTTAAACCGTAAAAGTTTGAATTTATAACTTTTATGAATCATTATAGATACAGACTATATACTAAAGTGGTTCATTCTTTGTAATGCAGCTCATGATTTTTTAATAATATTGTAGATTTATAGAATAGTTACAGGTTTAAATCTGCTGTTTGGGTTTTTGCGTTGGTGGTATAAATTATTTTCAGCATTATTGTTTATCATCTATATTTACTTCACCAATACATCACACTTCAAATGTTGTTATCGTGTCAGGACAAATTTTTAGTGAATGGTAAAATATTGGTATTGTAAAGGTTTCAGTAATAATTCTGCACACCTGATAGTTATTTTACCCTTTTGTTAATAAAATAAAATAACTACTTGATTATAAGGAAAGACTAAAAACTTAATTTATAATGAACAACCACTAATCCTTACTTAAATTGCTACTAAGCCTTAATTAACACCCTAACTCTTAACCTCTAATTAGTTACTACACCAAAATCATCACTAAACTATTTGTTCAGTATGATGAAGTCCTTATCATGCTTTATAAGGCTAATTATAGTGTAGTTATTATTAAATATACCCCTAATGTAATGGACATTTTCCTCTGAGCTTGGGCTAGCTTAGAAGCAAATTGACTAGGGTGCAGTAGGCTGTCACATCATGTCAGTATGTCAAACTGCAGAGCTTTATGGAGACAGATACTCGGCCCTTTTCACTTGTCTACAGTAGTGAGGCTACTGCTACTTGGCATTAGCACAGGTGTAGTTGATCTGCACAGCACATCTCTGACTTTTATATGCTTCTTTTATAATACAGGTGCTGAGTATCATGCCGATGTAGCTTTATGACCTGTAGTAGTGATTAGGATGCTCAAGTCTAAAGCCCGATGGCAACACGTCTCTTTGCACTTTAGAAACAGACAGAGCCTAAGTCTGTCTAGCTTAAAAAGCCAAAAGAGGACTTGATGAAATGTCAGGTCAAAACATCAAAAATACCCCCAATCAAACCAACCCAAGCTGTTTATGTAAAAGAGCGCTCAAGGAGAGGGCTGACCCAAATCAAAAAGTCAGACAGACATCTAACCCACTTTGACAGCATTAAAGAAAATACCATCCACCAAGGCATTAGTATACAGCTTCTGAGGCAGGCGGACTTAGAGGCTGGGCCCTCTCCACACTCTGATTTAATTCATTATGTATGTTTGAATGCCTCTTCTTTTCCTGGAATATGTTAGCTTGTTGCAGCCATCCATGACCAGTAGCAGCCCATTTTAAGTTCCTGGACTTTCCTAGCTTGTTAGGAGTCCTCATGAGCACTCTTCACACTTTCCCGTGTCTGTGAGTGCTCTGTGGACTGTAAAGCTACTTTATAAATCAACTTGTATGAATCATTTTGAAACTCACTTTTCTTTTACTCAATTAAGGAGAAAGCACACAAAAGGGCAGCACTCCGCTGCTCCTCTCCAAGCTTGTTCTCATTTTTCTTTGCTGTTTTCTCTCTCTCACCTCTAGTGCCGCTCGTCTGGCAGTGTCTCTTGTCCATGTCCCTCCCTGGCCTCACTGTCTCTGCCTGTATGCCCACAGCTCTGAAGGACGCCCGGTTCCAGCTGGTGAATTTCTCTGACAACGAGCTGCGGGTGTCTCTGTCCAATGTGTCACTCTCGGACGAGGGCCGCTACGTGTGCCAGCTCTACACTGATCCTCCTCAGGAAGCCTACGCAGACATCACTGTCTTGGGTAGGTGCAAGGTTGCTTGTGGAAGTGCAAACAGCAGTGTCTCCTCCACACAGGCTCTGCATTGTTTCCGCTCACAGTTCAAATATGGGTATATACAGTGAAAATGGGGAATACTGTAGATATCTTTGATTTAGCTCTTGCAAGTGAAACAAAGTGTGAGTCAATTAGGTCCTTGTGATGCTCAACGGCAAAGTCAGTACGAAAAGGAGCAGATGCTGAAGCGGATGGCTCCGCCCGTATCGGTCCTGGCAGCTGTGTTGACTCTGTGAATCCCGGTGAATGTTGACTTGGCTGCTCCAAATGAGTCCCCATTGAGAGTCAGCTGTGGTACACTTTGATGCTTTGCAATGAAATGACTCTAGTTAAGCTTTATTATACATGCAGACATCCTGGGGGATTGAAAGGAATTAAAAGCACTTTAAGTAATTACTGGAGATGTACAATTGAAACATAGCTGCAGTATTTCTGAACCAAGGGTTGCCATGAAGAGTCCTTGAAATAAACACCCTGCTGACTTTCTGCTGGAGAGTGTGAGTGAGAGGGGTACAGCCTGTTATGCAGCAATGTCACAGGAGCGATGAGGGATCACTCAGCCCAGTCTGTGCTGTGGACTTTTACATATGATTAAAATGTACCAACTACATCAGCGCCAAAGTACCATATTCATTTTGTTGGAGTGTTGGCAACATTACAGACCCATGTATTTCCTGCCCAAAAAATGATTTCCACAAGGAAAACAGGAAAATATTTAAGTTATGTTATGCTTGGAAATTCTATGTGGTGTTAGCTAAACAGATATCCACTTTATATCCCTATAAAATAAACCATGAAATAGCCTAACCTTATTGAAAAATAAGACAGCTAATCTTTTCAAGCTTATGATAGTTCATGTGTGATTTGTGTGGTGGTCAGTATTTTTCTGACAGTTTGTGCCTTTTCTTTGGGACAGTCCCGCCGGGCAGCCCAATCATCGAGAGCCGGGAGGACCTGGTGAGCGAGGGCAATGAGACAGAGCTCACCTGCACGGCCATGGGCAGTAAGCCAGCCGCCTCCATCCGATGGATGAAAGGGGAGGAGGAACTGACAGGTCAGTGCAGTAACAGCCTGCTGCAGTTTGCCTCACATGCTCTGACTCTGTCCACTTCCTTCATCCTCCATCTCTACAAGTTTCTTATGTGGACCAAAAGTACAGCTCCTAGCTCCTATACATGTTGTACCATTATGTTGACTGACATGTTCAGAACACTGCCAAAAGAAAAGTAGTTCCACCAATCTTTTAATGTTTGTTTGTATTACAGTTTTAGTTTATAGTTTACTATTTCTTTATATCAGTTATTAATTACTTTATTCTTCTGTGATTTGTATTTGTCACTTTAATATGTAATGTATGTGTATGTAGATGTATGTGTCAGTGAGTCATGGTCAGCTTCATAACGCTGCAAAATCCTTCACACTTCTCAGTTGTAATTAGAGAGATTAAATACTCACTCACTGCCTTTACTCTTACCAAGGGGAGATATTTACTTCTCCATAAACATTTAAAGTGGCCATCCGAAGTGTTGTTACGCTGTATATATGGATAGGATTTGATCGGAGGGGATTCATTTGGCTTGTCTAGAGATGAAATATTTAGACAAGACTGAATGTGAAGCTAAATGCCATCTGTGCCTCCAGTGCTCCCCGCAGGAGTCAAAGTCGATTTGTGTTGGGAAGTTGTTGATGGTTGTGTAAGGGAGAGTGAGACAACAGGACGGTCGGATCAGCGAAATGCCACTGACACGCTGAGAGGGCTAATCCATAACGGCAGTGGCTACATAAAAGCTGGTCCAAGTGTCCTGGCCCCCCGTACCCTGGAAACACAAATCACTACTCATTATGCATGTTTCAAACTATTCATTAGCTCCTCCACGCTTCAAGTTTAAAGGCGCACATCACATCACTTTTACACAATCTCTCTGATCATGTTTGTCTCTTGTTTCAGTGCACTGCCAAGGCCAGTCCTTAATAGCCAAAAGGAAATGTGCTAGCTAATTTAAACATACTTGCAAACGTGCAGAGAGCTTTAGCAGCCATTTATCATGCTGGCAGGTTCAGGCCTACAGGGTTTAGGGCTGAGACTGCAAGGTGGGAAAAAGGCCGGTTACCACAAACGACACGATTCTGTTCAAAGAAATTATATTAAAGAAATACTGTCTTATGTATGAGTGTATATTATATTTATTATGCTACAAACAAAGTCGCTAATTAATGGAGATTTTCTATGTAAGTTCTGTAAAAAATGCACTCTCCAAAATAGTACTACCTGACTGCTTTGTACTATATTAAAAACAGCACTAGTTCTAGTTCATTTTAAACAAATTGCAGCAGTCCAAAGGCATTCCTGTTTCATATGTATTCCAAGTACCCTAATTATTCACTGCAATGAGTTTATAAGCGCTTTCTACAACTTTCAGAGTGCCTTTTGCCATCTTTGTAAAGCTAACAATAATTAGCATGCTAACAGCGTATTCCTGGTATTTGGAGAATAAAGCGCTCTGTAATTAGATGCATAATGCACTCTGTAGTCCCATTTAAACTCAAGATGCTTTTACAACATCTGTACAGGAGTAAAACAAATTTTGCACAACTACGTGGAAAATTGTGTACAGCCTTGTTAAGTAAACACATCTATTTTCAAATATGATTTAAAATACAATAATAAAAAAAATGCTCCAAGTTAAATCATTACATGTTTTGATAACACGTTTTGGTAAAACTTTTATTAGGCGATACTTATTAACATGTAACTGATCTAACTAATAAGGAGTTTATTAAGAGGAATGTGTTAGTAAATGTATAACTAGCAGCAAAATAAGACAATAAGAGTTGAATAAATACTAATGAATGACAAATTACACTACTACACTAATTAGCAGGTATTTAGTTAGTTTAGATAAGTGTATACTAAAATAAAGTATTACCAATATTTTGTATGTGAGTCTGGATAATGACTGCACTTATTAAAATATGACTGATTATTTTTCATAGTCAACTATTCACAGTTAGTTGATAAATCATTACAGTCCTACAGGTGAAACTGTAAAACATTTAAAAGGTCCAGTGTAAAAGTAAACCCAGTGCAGTTGCAGAGGAGTATTAGAGTACATTTTTACTCAGTGCTGACAGTTTTATTGAACATTGAGCGGTGGCAGCTACAGACAGCAGGATCAGTGATGCTGGCGCACTGTGCTGGCAGGCAAGAGGCCGGGCTCAAAACGCGCAGAGGCACCATGTCACCCTGAGGAGCGCTATGCTTGATTGCACTGGGATTGATCAGTAGTTGATGCTCACAAGCGCGTTTGATTTGACGTCTCTGCTGCAACACTCCAGTCTCCTCTGCATTCAGATTGGAGTCCTTCCTCGACCTGATCACTCTTGTTTTTCTTGTCAAAGTTGAGATGACACTGATAATTGACAGGCGTTTGGTGGAGGACAAAATTTTAAGATGGTTTGATCCGCAGAATTAAATTAGTGGCTTCACAAGTTGTAAAATCATTTGAAATATTTCAGCCCTCTAAATTATTCAGCAAGACTTTTTCAATTAGCACGTAGGGTGAGAGTTTTTTTCTTGACTTGATTAGAGCAGTTTGTCCCTTTAGTTTTGCCATTTAGCATGCATGAGCTATTTCAAAGCTTCCCAGTGGGACAATGTGCATTATTAAAACACAGATCTGCCCAAATGTATGTTACTAGCTATATATAAATTGTACAGTATAAATTGCATACTAATGAGATTTCCATCCATTAGTTTTTACTTAAACAAAACAGGTCCTGAATGATCACTTTTTCTGTGCTCTTTATGACACACTGCAGCTAACCCATGAAATTACTTGGCTCAAGAATAAATTAAATCTGATGAATGCATACATTGTACATTTTGTATATAGAACTGAATTTTAAATGTCATTTCGCACATTCTAACCTATGTTTTATACATTGTCATCACAGGTTCACATACATTCCCTGTCTTTTGTCTCATAGATTATTATGGCTCCTACATTACAGGAACATCCGGTGTGTTTTAAAGAGCCTGTTCAGCCAGTCAAGTTTAATGGTCTGCAGTGCACTGAGCTCTCACACCTCCCACTACTGTAAATGTTGTGTAGTCCACTCGGAGGCAGTGCACAGTGTGTGTTACATGGGTTCATTTCCATCAGGAGGCCTGTGAGATCATCCACTGTGGAACAACAGTATTTTGGCCTGAGACTGGACTCCCCGGTGACGCGGCTCAAATGGAAGTGTGCTGCAGGTCAGAGTAGGGCTGTAATTATTTCCTCACTTCATTAAGTGCGAGTAAACCATCGCACTCAGCACCGCAGCTAATGCCGCGCCCCTGTGGCATTGTAATGCTCTCTAAATGAATGCCCCTCTGACAGCCCAGGGCCTAGTGGGCAGCAGATTACTGCAGGGTGAGCCCCAACAATGCCCCAGTCTCAAACTGCACAGCCTTCATTATAGTGCTGATAGAACCCTGTGCTCCGCGCTGCTCCTGTCACAAATGAAGGCCCGAGGCCCATCACAGTCCACTAAAGCTGAGTTTGGGCTCCACATCTTTGAATCATAAATTAAATGTAAATGCCATCTGAAAGCAGTGCTCGTAGACAGGTATGTGCTTCTAATATCTCTGACTATTTGCTCATTAGGTCAGTGCAGGGCTGTGAGGCGGTACGATTTGATGGCAGTTTTCTGAGCGGAGCTGCACTTAACTTTCCTCCTGTCTTGTGCCGGTGGTGTTTTTCCAGGAGAGGCCACGGTGGAGGAGACATATGACAGGATGTTTACCGTCAGCAGCCGCGTGAGGTTTTCTGTCACCAAAGACGATGATGGAGTGCCAGTGGACTGCATCATTGACCACCCGGCTGTAAAGGACCTCCTGGCTCAAAGACACTTGGAAGTGCTATGTAAGTGACCGAGAGATGCACACTACTCCAAGAAACTGCATGTACTGCCAAGCCCCTCTGCAAACACAATTAACTAAACTGTGGCTTCTATAGAGGGATATGACTTGGCATTTTATAATACAGCCCTGACCCAAGAGAAAAAAAAAACTTTGAATTCATTTGACTTTTGGAATCAGCACCATAACACTATTTTTAGCTTGAACACACTGGTGGACTGTCAATCACTGAGCATAATGCTGCCTGTGGGCACAAACATGTCCTTCCTTAACCTTGCTACTTTATAAGAACTCTCAAATTGTAAACACCAAAAAGGACAGAAAAAGCACACTTGTATGATGTATTTATTGAGATGGGTTTATAGAAATCAATTTACCAGTTAGTAGTAATAGTAGTAATAGTAGTAATAGTAGTAATAGTAGTAGTAGTATATAACTATTTATGTAACTTTTCTAGTAGGGGATCTGACACTTGCTTGTGTCTATAGAGATCATTTTTGCCAAGAAGGTTTAAAAAAAAAAATGGCATTAAAACATAACTGTAGTGAATTTAGCCATTACCTACACGTGTGTATTATTGCTCAAAATACCTGCATTCCTACTATGAAGTTGGGTCTTTAAAGATCTGATCTGGTGTTGTCCCCTTTGTCTGCCATGGATAAATAAGTGAAAGGCCATACTGTGGAACATTCCAGGCAAGGTAATTACAGCTCCATGGAGACAAGCAGGTAGCAGATGCTTCACCAGAAATGTTACACAGTTACGCTAAACTCAAATATATTGGAGTACCTGGCAACCATTTAGAGGTACATCCTGGGTTTTGGAAAAGAGTAGTTAATGTGAAACTTGATCATGTCTCAAAGAAATCTGAAATAGTCTCCATGAAGTGGCCTATTAGATAAGGCCAAGAAAGAAAACATATCAACTTTCCTTGATGTCAGACAAAATATAGGTGTTCTTTTAATAGTGCAGTGATTGTACAGGTAATACTGGCTGCCTTACACTGTTCAACATCAAGGAAAGGTTAACGTACCCTTTTATAGGCTGTATGGAATATTAATTTATTTCAGATAGACAACTGTTTTGTTTGACCTTTCAAAGAAAAAAGAAAAAGCTTGACTGGAGCCGCTTGACATTTTGGTAATCTTTGGTGAGCATTGATAAGAAGGGAAAAATCGTTTTTGCTGTAAGCTACAGTAGACCTGGTATGTCTTCTGAGCACATGGAAAAATCACCTTATCCACCATTATGTTACTCTGGGCTATTTGACTTCATGTACGAGTTTCCCTGCGCAGCGCGATTCATTATGTGGTAGTACTGTACTCTTTAGCTGCGGGTGCAAGGAGGGCTGCCGTGTTATAACATGGGGCACTGGAGTATTGTGTGTTTCTTTTCAGATAAACCCGAAGTGAAGATTGTGGTGACATATCCTGAAGGTTTGACAAGAGAGGGAGACAACTTAGATTTGACATGCATCGCAGAGGGGAAACCGCAGTGAGTATATTGATTTTTAATTTTTATTTTTTATTATGTGCTCATTTAAAAATCATACCTTTACAATTTCCATGCATATTTTGTTTCTTGTAAAAATATAATTCACTTACTAGGGAAATAAAACCTAGATAAAGATTATTTTCCAAAATGAATGCACTATTGGGATTTGAAGGATCATGGACAAAATACTAATGTGACTACTATTTCTACAACTTCTTCTACCAATATACTAGGGCTGGGTAATTCCAAATTTAATCAAATATCCGGATCCAGTTGTCTCAAATTGTCAGTGATCAGCTGGGGTCTTTTTAATCAAGAGGACTACAGCCAATCCTCTGTCCATAAAAGCCTGTGGTCTGGAGCAGAGTTCAAACTTTGGAGGAAGGAACTGGACAACTTTCAGTGTTAAATGTCACTGATTAAAATGTTGTTTTGTTGCACATATGTGACTGTTATCATTTCAGTGTTGTAGGTTCGATTCTACCCTCCCACCCCCCCTCTCTATCCCCCATTTCACGCTACAACTGGCAATAAAGCCTTTGGGCCAACAGCATATGAATATAAAACAATTGACAAATCATCCTACTTTGTATTAATGCATGTCTTTCTTTTTCCATTCTTTATCTGTTATGCACATTCAGGATAATTGACTTACTCCATGTAATCCCTCATTTGCAAGATTTACTTTCTTAAAGGTCCTACATTACACAAAATGGATTCTTGAGCTTTAAGCCATGTTATAATGCTGTTACCTCCTCAAAAAAACTACTCGGAGTTGTGTTTTGTTTCAGTGATTAATTTATTTATTAGTCCATTTACATCAACAAAGCTCAAACTGCTCTGTTCCACTTTGTGATGTCATTTAGTAGCAGTTTTCAACTTAACAGCTACCTTTTACCTTTTGTTCAGTAGCAATTGGCAATTCCAGAGTTGAAATCATCCAAATTATTATAGTGAAGATGTATAGCATTTAAAAACACTGGGATGCACTTCCTGTATTACCACATGACATCAGAAGTGTTTTCTGTTTGTGAGAATACCGGTGTTAAGCATGTGTGAATGAAACAAAACACAGGTATGTTTTTGATGAGGAAATTACATTATAACATGGATCAAAAAACTGCACAGCCCATTAATGACTGTGTCCCTGTGTTGTCCTCAGTCCTCATCAGATAAACTGGCTGAGAGTGGATGAAGACGTGCCCCCTCACGCTGTGGTCACTGGTTCAGACCTCTACATCGAGAATCTGAACAAGTCCTACAATGGGACCTATCGCTGTGTGGCCTCCAACGCTGTGGGAGAGGCTTTCGATGACTACATTCTTTACGTCTATGGTATGACAGTTTCTATTTTATAAATTGTTAGTAGTAGCTATAAAGCAGATTAACATTGCTTTTGTGATCAGAAATATATACATGTAAGTAATTATTGAGCTCAGAATCACAGAAGGTGGCTACATTTAGCAAATCTCTAAAGCTTAAAAAAATATGCTGCAGATTTGTGGTGCCAGTGTAGTAAGTATGCCTAATAAGTGATGGATAAAGTGTCTGTTGGCTATGCCCCGCTCTGCTAAAATTGTTGTTAAAATAACAGGAAATGGGTTTACAGAGGGACATATTAATATTATAGAAGTTTGTTTGGGGGAAAAAACACATACTTAAGAGTTTGTGTTTTGAAAATAAATTGGCTGTTTCATTTGTCAGTGTTGTCTATTTTCAACATAACTTGCAACGCATACTTTATCTTGGTATATGATTTCAAAATGTACTTGCCTTCAATTGCCCAGTTTAGATTAAGTAGATTTTTGTACTTAAGTTATTTGGAGCAACATTGCGCTAGTACAACACAACTTGGACAGTACACAAATAATGTGCAAATTAAAGCCCCATTGTGTGACATTTTATACAAATAATAAAAGCTTTTATTTTTTTCATTTAGATTTTTACTTACTTTGAGCTGGCTTGCATCTCCAAAAACATATTACTCTTATTTGGCTTGAAGGGGGAGGGCCTTCACCTGCTTGTTTCCATGGAAATGTTGTTCCTTTGGCTATAATATTCCACAGTAGGGCATAAAATGTATCTATCTCTATGAGGAATATTCCAAACTATGGTATTAACAGTTTCCATGGAATCATGTAGGCGATGTGCCACCTCCAGACATTCATTGTGTTGCTTTAAATGTGGCTTTGAAACAGATACAGAATTGCTCAATAAAATCAGTTTTTTTTGTTCAGACTCTGTATTTTTGGAGGCATCTTTACCGATCTGTTCTGCACATTTGTACACGCTCTGCAGTCCTTACAGCCTTCTTTTTCTGACCATGAGGCTTTATCAGAGGCTCTATTAGTCCTCTCATGTGTGACTGGCTGTAGATCTGTTCATAAAAAGTGCGTAGAATCTGAATAGACTTGTAGTAAAGGCCAGGCGTGGGTCATCTCCAAGGACAGTAAATGCCACAGCCCTTTTGTTCCCCAGCTTGAAAACGTTCATCACTAATTCCTCAGTCAATACAGACAGCATTAGCAGCTCTACTGGGGCACAGCTCAACCTAAAAATACCTAATATCAAAACAGATCAAAACTAAATTGGAAAAATAATCAAAATAGAGTCTTCTAAAAACTTCTTTTGGTGAAACAAGGTCATTGTGAATAAACTTATTTGGCGATCAGAAAACTTTGTACAAACAGCTCTTGTGTTTAAAGTCATCCTTGAGCTCCTGAGGGGGGACAGCGGGAGGGATGCGTTTGAAGTGCCCAGAATCAGAGACTGCAACATTTACAATCACGTAACGTAACGCTGTCTAGTACACACTGCCTGGACCTTAATTTCCCATTTTCTCTTTGGTTTGTGATTTGAAACAGGCACGGCAGCCATTGTTGGTAAGTTTAGCCATCTCCGCTGGCAGTTGCTGCACCCTGCTGCTCAGAAAAAAGGTTTTGTATTTTGCCCCGTGTTCCAATTGGTTTTGTTCTGTGTATGAGAACATTGTCTACTGATGACCAGTGTCCAACACTCCACAAACTCTTTCTCCAAAGAGTCATTCTAAATAATATGAACTGTAAATCTGCACCGGCCAGTGAGACCTAATATTATGACTCGTAGTTTAGGAAATGGATCAGGCAGACACATTTTGTCTTTCAAGTTGTTCTGTTCAGCAGGAAAATTGACAAACAAGCTTGAAAAGGCCTAAATTGTAAGGGACCTTAGTTAGCTCTTTATTGTGGTTTTATATTTGCAGTGGTCAATTTAACCAGTCCTATGAACTGACTGTAGTGAGCTGGTGACAGGCATTCTGCATTCAAAATAAACACAAATTAAATATAGTTAGTGTAATAGAGTATCTCAGGTCCAACTTGTTTTCACACACATTTTTGAGAAAATGTGATTTTATTGTAAACAAGTTTTGTTTTGACAGCAGCACTTAAGGAAAATGCTTCCAGGAAGCGTCCTCTTGGCAGAGTCTGGAATTATGCCTCTTAAAGCTTAAACCTGACCCAAACAGTGCGATCAAACCTTTGTTGAAAATGGGCTTTGTGACAAATGTTAGTGATTGGCAATGTTGTTTCAAATTATCACTCAATAAGCTTGTTTATTTTGTGTTTGACAACCATGAACTCTATGTCAAAAAACATCATTTTAACATTTTTGTTTGACTGATAAGCAAATGTTAATGACAGCTGTTTGGAAACACACATTTGAGAAAATAAATGCATTTGTATCGCTTGTGTCATCCGCGCTATTTCAGCAATTGCAGGGCAGACATTGAATGGGATTTTAATGGAGGCACAAGGTCTTGGTCACAGGCAGAAAATATGGAGAAGAAAAACAAGTGTGTTTGGATGCAGCTTTTTAACAAGGTAACCAGGGACTGAATACTTGACACATGGAGATTTCAGATTTATGCCTAGGTGTCATTCAGGGTCTCATTTCATATTATGGGGAGATGTATGCTGTATAGTGTGTGCATATGTCTTTGACATTAGTGGTCACGAGTCTCGAGTGTAAAAACAACCTTTGCCATAAACAGTGTGAATGTAACAGTCAAGTCACACCTCCGATATGGGTATGCTGTAAATCTCCTTTTGTTTAAGTAGGATTCTGAAGGTGAATAGTATGAAATGTTATAATTGTTGGAAGGCAAAGTCGTATGTTGTGGTATATGCTACTCAGGTATTCTCTACTTAAATCTTTGAAATTGTGTATATTTTAAAAAGCAGTCGCTTCAAGTGGAGTCAGGATTGGAATACTTTTCTCAATTTTTAGAAATGTCTATAGAATAGGCATGTTTTTATGTAAAATATTAAATACATGGGTTTGCAAATTGCACTGAAATAATGTGACACTTGTTAGTAATGTTACATTTTGATTGCATTTCAAAATACACAATTCTGTATATATTTTTGCATAGTAATGGACCAAAAAAGTCTCCAAATGCCTTATGATAGTATAATAAAGTGCTAGCATTTGGTATCAGAGCTTGGTCAGTCGTTGTCATGACCACATGTAGAACAGCTGCGTGGTCTGGTCTCACCTCACAGGCCTGTCTAAACCGATTAAACTCTGTGAAGGTTGAACTGAGGTTAATGTGATTCTCAGATACCACAATGCACCTTGGTTTTGTCCAGGCAGCCCTCGAGACTCTATTACATGCACCTGGCCATAGGCTTCAGTCACATGAAAAAATATGATTTATAGTGTACATAATGTCCAATTCAGTACACCCAGTCTGCGTCTGAGAGTTGTCACAGAGCTGGTGTGAATATTTGTCCTGTTATACATCATTGTGTTCTGCCATTTCACCCCCTCCTCCCAGTTGTCCTGTAATCACCAGTCCCCAAACGTAGGCAACCAAAATAGTGCACTCAAGTAGAATTTGTTTTCAGTTAAAATTGTGATTCAAGCTTGATTTTATTTATAAACCTTGATTTTGACCAAACTGCTGTTAGAATTCTTGCTTAAAACATTATAAAAATATGCTTTCAACTGCAACTGACAGCCTTTCAAGTAATTACTCCCTGATAAAGAAGTTGTCATTGAATCGCCTCTGGTTATTTTATTATGACTATTCATGCGCCCACGGCTCTTTAATTAATTATATATTATTTTTGTTTCTTGCAAATGACAGAACAAATTTGAAAAGAATAGTGCCCTCTTATTTACAGCCCATTCTTCAATTAGTAATTTCCTTATCACATGTTTTACCTGCTCCGTTTAAACACCGTGCCTCCTCTGTTGTGCGAGTGCAGCGCTTGTATGACTTTACCTCACTATAATGAGGCACAGGAGGTGGTAAAAGGTGCTCATAACTGCAAATAATCATGTCTCCAACTCCCACTCCTCTTTTCCGTAGGATTTAATGCCAGACAAAATCACATTGTGGCTCATATGAGGTTTGGTTGTCCCAGACTAATCATGTGTGCTATGTGGGCTTAATTAGTGTGTTTGTGCACGTAGATTACTGTTAGCATGATAATTGTCTGCTATTTTTATGTAGCTCTACACAGCATCAAGGCACCATCCTAACATCTGGTCCTGCCCACTCACTCCGGCTTATAATATATATGAGACACATTTTAAACCTACACCTAAATAATGCTATGTGAACAGGCTCTAGTTGCTTTGGTTGTCCAGCAAGATTACAAGAATTGGTCACGTGGTAATTTACTATTTAAAGGGTCTATATTATGCTATTTTACGATCTATGTTATAATATTGTTTCCTCATCACAAGAGTAACAGGAGTTGTGTTTTGTTTCATTCACACATGTTTGACACACAAATCCTGCATATTTAGGATGGGTTCTTCTCTCAAATGGAAAACACTCCTTTTGATGTCATGTGGTAATACAGGAAGTGCTTCAGTGTGTTTTTTTAAACTCAATAAATCTTGACTATAATCTTCTGGATGATTTCAACCCTGGATTTATCTATTTCTCCTAGTGGTATAACAATAACCAAAATATTGTGATATCGTATCGTCAAAAGTCTTTCAATAATATTGTGGGCCATCACAATATTTTGGATCACAAGTTTCTTTGCTTAAATTCATTGTGCAGCAATAGCAAAAAACAGAGGGAACTACATGGACCATGATCCTTTGCACCGTTTTGGTGCAAGCTACATGAAGAAATAGCAGTTCTAAGCACTTTTAAATCTTGGTTCTTTTAATTAAGTCTTGTCAATGCATTTTAAGAGGAAAAAGTAGTATATTCACAATTTTGTTAATCTCCACAATATATCGCAATAAATACTGTACCGTGAGTTTTGGATATTGGTACATCCCTAATCTCTACTGAACTAAAGTTATAAGGCAATTGTTAAAAACTTGAAAAC